GTTTACAATGTGTTTCAATTTCAAACTCTACAATCAAATAACCAAATTTTAACAAGTTGAAAACAACATAAGTATGAAATTTAGTTGAATTGAAATAACAAATGTCATAGAATTTCTCATTTAATCTATTACTCAGACACTTCACAATATGAATAAAACTGTTAAAATTTACTTTTTGTTAACAATATACAAACATCAACCACTAAGTAATGAACCATCATAAATAATATTAAATATTAATTCATGTCAAAATAAAATTAAAGATTATACAATTCAACAGACATTTACATTAGTATTAAACAAGAATTAATATGAACTAAAATGCTGTCCAATTTTCTAATTCTTCTTGAATGCAACGAGGAATAAAAACACTGTTTAATTTCTGTGATTCTTTTGAAGTGTTAGTGTTTGTTATTTCTTTTTCAATACCATCTTTATGACTTACACTTTCATTTAATATTTGACTTCTTTTAATTTCAACTTGGCTCTGGCGTTGTTGACCAAAAACAATATCTACACATTCATTCATTCCATTCTGACTGTAGAACGTTGATGTTCTAGAACCTTTCTTTTCATTGGTAGTTTTAGTTGAACATTCAACTCTTTCTTTTGTCTGTTTATATGGATGAAATGAACTAACTATCTTTTCAGATTTCTTAGAAGAAGGAAGAGGTTTGTTAGGTTTAAGTTGAATAGAAGATTGACGTTTTTGTGGTTGGGAATATCGTTGATTATATCTGTCATATGATTTCTGATAATGGTGAGACTCTTTTCTATGTCTTGAATGGCTTCTATTCCTTGACCCATTATCATTTCTATTAGGATAATCATATTTTGAAAAGAATTGTCCATCAAATGGAGAAAGGCGTCTTTCTGGTATTGAGGATTGTTGTTGATAATCAGTTATTGATTTTGGTTGCAGATTATTTATTTCTTTTGGTGAAAGTTCAAGGTCAAAATCCCATTCATCTTTTGCTTGTTCATTTATTGTGGTAAAAGAAGATTGCTTTTCTTGGATAACAACTGGATATGATTCGACTGGAGTAAATCTTTCTTTAACTTCAAGTGTTTCGTTATATTCTTTTTGGTCTTTATTATCTGATATTTGGATAATCTCAGTGCTTGGCTTATCTTCATCTATAAGAATAATAGTGTCATTTTCATAATTTAAAAGAGTATCATGAGAGTGACTTTGTTTTGTTTGAGGTAGTGATTCAGTAGGTATTTGAACGTTGTCTTTCATGTCTTGTATTTTTTGAACTGGAACTTCATTTTTGTTTTCCAACACTTTGTTTTCTTCTTCCATTGGTTTAATCTTCTTTTCATCCTCATCCCTCCAATCCACACCAATCAAATCTAGTTTCTCACTTTCTTCCTTATTGTAATATGTCAAAATAATTGATGCCATCAAACTATTACTTGGTAAAGCCAAGAGATTTTGTGGAATAACACCCATTGTTTGTGCCTGATGAACAAGATTTTTATATTTTGAATGAATAGGAATATACCAATCACAAGTTACACTCTGTAATTGGTTTATTCCTAAGACTAACTCCATTTTTTCAGTGTTGGTATGATTAGAAATGATATTATAAGCATTAGATGCTTCACTGATAGAGTTATATTCACAAAGATAATCATTACCATCTTGAGTGATTGCTCTTACTTTTCCAAAGAAACTAAAATAATGAAGAACAGACTCAAAAGTAGTGTTTAATAAATGTTTTAATCGGATAAAATTCAAAGGTAAATTTGATATGATTTGATAACCAAATTGAACATATAAATACCTTCCACAGAATTGTTTTGAATGAACTTTATGAAAACACACAATAGAATCACTTACTGAATCAAATTGAACAACGACAAAATGAAGATGAAGACAAGTGAAATCTGTAGAAGTAATTTTAATATCAGAAGGAAATAATAATAAAAATTGTGATTTATCGAATATTTTAGGGACATTATAAATGATTAAATGAAGAGTCGGATAGTCTAATGAAGGATGTAAATCCAAGAATTCTTTAACTAATTGATGAGCCATGATTGTCAATTAAATCAATACATTCAATTTAAAAAGTTAATTTTTTAATAATAATAATATATTGATTCTTAAATAATATAAATTTTATTATAATTTCTTTTATTTGAAATAAATAACAAAAAATAATTTAAAAAAGATTTAATGATGGAAAAATGTTACTTAAAATGTTTAGCAAGCAACAAAAACGTGATTGTAACGGCAAATTGATGGTCCTTTTTCTTCATATTCTGCCTTAGAATGACAGTGTTGAACAAAGACTGGAAGTTCTGCCATAACAGAACCACCATACCAAACAGCATAACGTTGATATGGATATGAAACTACATTAACTTCCATTGGTTTTGGTGTTAATTTACCACCAGACAATTGAACAGCTTTTTGAGTACGGAAATCTGTAAATCTTCTAACATCTCTCTGTAATCTATGTCCAAAACCTTTAAACATAGTAGAACCACCTGATAAAATAATATTCTTATAAAGGTCTCTTCTACAATCAATTGGACATGATTGAATAGAATCATCAACAAGATCTGCTAATGGTGTAGTAAAATCTGATGAGAAAATTTCTGGATTAAAGAATAATTCTGGTGCAAGGAATTGTTCATATCCAACATCAAATGTATATGGTTTCTTTGAAATTGGATCAATGGCTTGATGTTTCTTAAATGATGATTTTGGATCATTTCCTGAATCCATAATACTAAATTCTTTACACATGTCTTTAGAAACAAATGAATAATTTTCTTTAATTGTTCTTGCCATTTCCATACGTTCAGATGCTGGAATTGGTTCTTCTCTTTCAACAAGCATTTGTTGAATAAATGCTGTAATATCTTTTCCAGCTAATGGAATACTTTTAATTGATGATCCAATAACATATCCATCAGCAACAGGAATAATATGAGTAACTCCATCTCCTGAATCAATAACTGTACCAGTTAATCTTGCATTTGCTGGATTATTATCTTTTCTAGACCATGATGCAACAATAGCTAAAACTGCTTGAACTGCAATATACATTCCTGGAACATTAAATGTTTCAAAAAAGACTTCAGCTAAATATTCACGATTTTCTGGTGGATTCATTGGTGGTTCAGTTAAAAGGAAATAATGATCTTGTGGATCACATCTAAGGTATTTAAAAATGGCTTGTTCCCAATACATTTCCATTAAAGTCCAATTTTCGATTTGTCCATGTTTTAAGGGGAATGTTTTTGTATATGATTTTGGTGCATTTTCAGCTTCTTGTCCAATATAAAAATCAAAATCTTCTGTAGACTTTGTTGCTGTATTTAAATCTGCTTTTGAATCAACTGCAATTAATGATGGAATTAAATAACTTGGCTCTGTATTTCCTGCATATCCTATTTTTGTATATCCCGTACCATTATCAAGAACTACTGCTGGAAGTGTTGACATTTCTCTTGTGTTAATTTTTTGAAGTTCTAGTTCGACTTTAATTGTTTTTTTAGTTCTTTCTCTGTTTTTCTTCTATTTTTTAGTTCCTTTTTTCTTGTTTTTCTTGTTATTTTTTGTTTTTCTTTTATTAAATTTTTGTTGATTTTTTTTGTTAAATATCTTTTTGAATAAATAATCAATAACAAAAATTAATTTCAATTTATGTTGTTTATAACATTTGTAGAACAATAACTCGTTCTGTATGAAATGGTTGAGGAAACATACACCCAATTAATTCATTGTCTTTAATCTTTTCATAACTCCTTGATAAATTCTTACAATACCCTTTTTTAGATGTTGGTTTGTGAACATAAACTCTAGAAGATCCATACCCAAAATCAAATAAACAAGGGTCGTCCATTTCATGAAGTTGTATAGAACCTCTTTTTTCATTAATTAATTCAAATTTCTGTGGGTCTTGAATTCTTCCATTAGAATTTAGTGTGAAAATGAAATTATGACAACTTTTATTCTTTTCAAAGTCAGGAGAATTAATATCTAATGTTGTGATTGGAAGGTCACAATAAGTTCCATAGACATTCCCATAATCTCCAAAACAAATAAATATTAAATGAGGGATGTTCATAATAGTTTTGTTAAATCTTAAGTTAGAAATACCATTTACTGCAGTGTCAAAGATTTTTTTATATCCGCAATGTCTATCTGTCCATTGAGCAAAGTATTTACTATGTCTAATAACCATTTCTTGTTGTTCATCAATCATTAATCTTAAAAGTAATTGACTTATTAGTATGGACTTTCTATTGCAAATATTGAGAATGAAGAACTTTCTTATTGTAATGGAACTTTCCAATGAATCTTTTTCTTATTCTTATTCTTTCCAAATATAGCAATAATCTAAGATGTTATAACTATTCAACAACACACAATTTAATAAAATTAAATTAACTCTCTTATCAGTATTTATTGCATAATAGTGTTTGAAACATCTTTCAAATCATCTGTTGGTATATGATTGTCTTTTCTTATTGATGAGCTAAAAAAATAAATCATGCTAAATTTATGTTTTATATATCATTTTGAAGTTATTATCAAAACACACAAATAACATTTGAGTCTTATTTGTTGATGCCACCACGACCAATAAAAAACAGATTTGAAATTCATCGACCTTACATAACTCAAGAAGAAGATGAAATTATTAAACTGACAGCTCAATACACGGCAAGAAATGGAAGTAATTTTGTAAAAACCCTTGCTGAACGAGAACAGAAGAATCCTACGTTTGCATTTCTTCACAAAAACCATCCAAATTATCCTTATTTCGCTCAATTATGTGAATCGTACAATCAATGTCTTCATCCAAAACAACAGTACATTCAATTTCTAAACAAAACAATGGGAAATACACAAATTCTCATTAAATACTCTAAGATGAGAGCAGACTATGAAAAGGAGATTGAAGAAATAAAAAAGAAAAACGAAGAAGATAAAAAGCGAGAGGAGGAGTTAAATCTTTCTATCAATTGGAATGACTTTGTAGTTGTTGAAACGATAGACTTCAATGACTTTATTGAGACAGAACACCAAAATATATTCTTGGATGAAATGGAACAAAACACTGAAGAAGAAATAAAACAAGAAACTAAAGAAGAAGAAAATCAAAATGATAACGATGAAATAACTAAAATAAAGAAAGGAAATCAATATGGAGAAGTGAAACAAGAATGTCCTCTTTGTCATCGTTTAATACCATTAAGTGAAATGGATAAACATATGAAAATAGAACTTTCATCTAAAACAATGAAATCCCAACAAAAATAAATTCTTTGTTTTACTAAAAAAGAACATATAAGTCACTTATTCTTTTAAATGAATAAAAATGCTACTATCATCAAACCAATAGAAACAATTGATTCTTTTGATCCATTAGAAGGATCATCATCATCACCTCCTAAAACACATTCATTTTTAAGAGTATACCATTCATATGAATCTTCACATAAGTCACAGAAACTTTCATTTTGACAACTCATACAATGAGGTAAACAAGGACTGCATTTATTACCATTTACATAATAACCAACTTGACATAAGTCACAATTAGTTTCATTACAACTAAGACAATGATCAGCACATTTATTACATGATCCTTCACTCTTATAATACCCATCAACACATTCCTCACACTTGCCATTCCTACAATAAGAACACATAGTAAATACTTCCTGACATTCTTTGCATACTCCATTTTCAAGAACATATTCTGGATCACATTGATTGCAAACAGTAGTATCACAATACAAACAATGACTATGAAGAATTGAACACTCACAACAGTCATGTTCATTGCAATGATAAGTACTTCCAACACACCCACAATTATTTGAGATTGATGCATTTCCTCTACAACTTCCTTCACATACAGCATAATTCTCAGTACAAGTATCACAATCACCTCTACAAGGTTGGCACTTGCCAAGCATGGGGTTGTAACCAGTTGATGGTGAACAAACACACTCATTCCTCTCATTCATCTTAAAACCATTTTCTTCATCACATTTTAAGCATTTTGTATCATCACAATTTCCGTCTAAACAATGGCTATAAGCTGAAGAACATTTTACGCATTTTCCTGAGACTTCAGTATAAGGGGAAGCACACCCACATGAAGCACCATTGTCTTTTGGTTCGTATTTATTTTCACATATAGTACAATTATTTGATGAACATTCTAAACAATGAGGAATATCAGGACATGCTAAATCATTAATATAATTATAATTTTTTCATTAAATTGTTATATAAAGAACAAACCACTCATACACTGTTTTGTTTTTTCATCTAATACATATGGATTGTTACAAGACATACATTCACCATTAGTCTCATTACAAGAACTACATTGAGGGTTATTGGTAGTACACTTTTGACAAGTACCTTTTTCAGAATCATAATATCTGTTGTTATTGCAAACACACACACCACCAACAACTGTAGAATAACTAGGACATCTGCATTTTTCATTTCCTCTTTCAGGGATTATACAAGAGCCATTAATAAGAATACAGTCATAAAAACAATCACTACAGACATAATTTTCGTCTGAGTCTTTTGAACAAGAAGAACAAGTTGAAAGGCTCTCAGGACATGTTTCTGCATTTATTACCACCAACAAAAAAAATAACATAATGAATTGACTCATTGTGATGGTATAAGGAATTAAATAATGTAAATATCTTCAAGTTTTTACATTAAAGGAAAACGTCTAGTAGAATATTCTTTTAAAATTAATTAAAATTTTAGGTTTTGTAACACTAAAAAGATTACATAGAATAACTGGAAAAGTACTTTAATTGATTTATATTGATAGAAAACGATTTTAATTTAGGAATAAACAGTATTTATTGAAATAAGTTAAAATTTGAAGAAGTTTTTGGAATGAAAGGATTTATATCACAAAAATCTTAACACCTGAAACGTTTTTGACAAAAATTTGAGATTTATAAAAATCTTTTTTTTTTCAAGACGTTGTTTAAAGGAAATTTAGTAGACAATAAATAAAGGAAGTTAACAAAGGAATTACTAATTAGGTTTTAATATTTTATTTTATATATAGATAAAAATAGATAATCCAGAAAAGAAAATTTTTGGGGGTTTGTTGATTTATTAAAAAAGACTACTATTTAAATAATATAAATTAATTCTTTTTTTTCTTGACTTTCTTAATCTTGTCAATCTTTAAGATTCAAAATCCTGAATGATGTTTATGCATTTTGTCGTATTTTATAAATACCCTTAAATGGCATAACCATTACATGCTATGTAAATAAACATCAACTAAGTAACAACAAGATTAGTACTTGTTCTGTGAAATAAAAAATTCTACCAAACATAAAAAAAAAAGAGATGTATGACAGTCAAAAGAAAAAAATTATTGAAAAAGTTAGTGTTGAGAAATTATGAAAATCAGAATGAAAAATTGTAATAACAAAATATCATTGATAATGAGATTAAATAAAATGTTGTTACATATTATTTTTTTATTGACGTAAACCAACATAAAGAATTGTAAAAAAATGATGAGATTTAACACTATACTAGTATCATAAGAGTTACTAAAAACGTCTCATCTAAAAAAAGACACCATACATTTTATTAATACCAAGAAATAAATATTCTAGTAATATCATTATTTTTAATATTTATGGTATTGTTCCTTTAACATATAATTCTATTAAATTTTAATACTCTAATGTTTTATTGATTTTATTGAATATTACATTAACTATTTCATAGTTTTGAACAATTTATTCACTAATTCTTTGAATTTTAGTACTAATTTCATTGGCATTTGAATAACTTTTTAGGATATATCATAGTATTTAAGTTATTGACAATGTTACTTATTTCTAAAGGTGTTATTTTTATTTTCATTCATTATTTAATTATATTTGTTATGAGTATATTTTAGCTCATTATTTCGATATTTTCAAATAATAGTGGTTGTTGTTGAACCATTTATTATAATGGATAGTTTAATAATATATTAAATGTTGTGAAATGAATATAGACAAGTTATTAATTAGAGACAATAGAGATATTTCTAATGAATCAACAATCTCATGATAATACACAGATAGTATCATTATTATTATTGAAATACGAAAGTATGATATTAAAAACATAGATAAATAAAAAGAAACGATAAATATTTCAATTCGTAATAACAAAGAAATAATAAGGCGTTTAAATATATTTCATTTATAATAATTTCAACTACTTATGAATAAACTGTCTTTATTAAAATACATTCATTGTGTTTATTATTTAAACCAATAATTATATTTATTTAGATGAATGTTTGTTTGTATTGCTTGATTTGATATTTATTAATGTTAATATTTCCTACTAAGTCTAAACGAAACAAACGATACAATTAAATCGTTGTATATTTCAATTCATTCTATTTGAAAACCATTAACTTATTTATTATTCCATTAATAATAATATTACTATTCTATTTAATTTCTAATATTTCTTTACTTTTATTTATTTTTATACTTTAAAAATGAATTTTGTAACATAATACAAATAATCAACAATATTTATTGATTATTATCATTATTATTTAGTATTATTGATGAAACAATTATTCATTTGGAGTTTAAGTATAGAATGATATCGAATAAATTTATTATAGAATATTTATTTTTGATTTGTTTGCTCATTTCATCTTAATTCATTCATAATAATTCAATTTATATAATCAATATACTATTAATTCTTTAACTAACTGATATTATAAGTTTGCATCAATTTATATATGTGTTTTTATGTTTTAAATTAATCCATTCTTTGATAATTTTAACAAAACAAACATTAACAGATATAATTAAATTTAATACATAAATTTATCGGTTTAATAATGATTAATTGTGTTTTATGGTTGTTATAATGACATTTAATTGTTGTATTCTCAATGTATTAAACATTTTTTGTGAATAATCAACCAATGTTTAATTAAAAAAAGTCATAAAAATAAATGAGAAAAGATATTATTAAATGAATTAAAGTTAGTTAATTATTCATGATTGTGTGATGTTATTTGAAAATTATTTTATTTATTTCTTGGTTATAATATTGTTGTGTTTGAGTAAAATGATTAATGGATAAATCTGAATAAATAAATAATGTTAATAGAAAGAAATGATAAAAAGAAGATGAATAAATAAAAATGAAAGAAAAGAATTAAATAAGAGTAGACCTGATAAGTTCCATTGCTGCTATTCTTGCATTAATTTCAATGTCATCATTCCTTCCACTTCCTATCCAATTGTCATCTCGAGTGATATATCCCATTTCAAGATATCTATCAATATCTTCTTTCATTTCTGGATTATTATTTTTCATGTTTTCCATCATTTTCAGTTGGTTTTCAAAATACTCTTCAAAGAGTTGATCTTCCCATCCTTCTCTTGTATTGTTCATTTCCTGTTTTGACTTTCTTTCTTCTTTCTTTTATGTTGTTGTCTCTTCTTTTCTTTTAATCATTTTTTGGTTTTTGACTTTTCTTGTTGTTGTTTATCTTTTTTATGTTTTCTTCTTCTAATAAAAATTAGATAATTACGTGTTAATAGAATTGTCATTTATTCATTGATTAATGGATATTAATCACATTATACATTATTAAAATGAGTAATTTCTTTGTTTTATTTCTTATTTAGATTTTCTTCTTGTATTGTGAACAAACCATTCTTCTTTTATTTTATTTCTTTTGAGTTGAAGTTTTTTTAGTCTTCCTTCTGCTTAACTCTTCTTGTTACTTCCTGTTTTCCTTCTACTTTAATTTTAAATAACTTCATCTTTTTTATTTTCTTATTTCATTATTACTATAATATTATAACTTAATTTCATTTAATATTAACATCATCAATTAGATTATTTTAATTTGATAATAACTCAATATATGTTTTGAGTTTCATCATAACAAATACACTTGCATCATCAACAAATAAATACCATTATAATAAATACAATACTTTGAGCTATTGGTTAATGCATTCTCAAAAAAAAACATCATCATAACCAGACAATAACATCGAAGTTATAATAAAGGTTTATATTCATTTTAATATTTGTATATAGTGTTTCTAAAGTGCTACTTTCGAATCAATATAGTTTATTTAAAATATTAAATGAGGAGTTTTATTTTATTCTTTATGACTCAATACCATTTTATGTTTTTTGATTATATTTTGGTTGTACATAAAAAAATATACATCAATTTGCTTTTTTAGTAAGTAGGTATAACACTATTTTTAATAATTAATGATTAAACACCAAAACTACAAAATAGAAGGGAAGTATGAGATATGATTGTATGTTGAGATATGAATGTTCTAATTAAATATCTCTTTTGTAATATTGATTAAAATACTTTTGAAGTTTGGAATTTCAATCAAATTTTCTTTTATTTCTTTTTTTTAATTAGAATTAGGTTTTTATTAAAAGGTTTAAATAACCCTTTTTTCTTTTTCTAACACGAAATAATTATTGTCTAATATGTCTATCGCGTCACAACTAAATACCTTTGTTCCTACTGTTAATACCTCTCATATTGTATCTTTTATCTATGACAATAATAAAGCTAAATTTATTGATAGATACACATTACATAGAGGTGCATTAGACTCATTAAATCATTTATTTAAAAACCATGAATTGTTAAGTGAATGGAAAGCATCATTATTTGGAGATGAGTCAGAACAGTGTAATAGAGACATGTTAACGGATAGTCAAAATAAAGAATTATCAAAAAAGATATCAAACTTCTTACCTTATTTAAGTCAACACTTCTTAAATCCAGAATGTGGACCAATTATTGAATACATGATTCGTGTTTATTCTATTAATACAGTCGGAGCTAATGAGTTAATTCTTTCATTCTTATCTCATTACCAAAATCCATTATTTATTCGTTTATTGTCTTTATGTAAACCAACAATATTTACTAATTTTATTAATTTAGATAGAATTAGTAGAAGAGATTTTGTTATTCATTTAACTCAATTCCCAACTACACTTTCTACTTTAATTAATTTTTATATTGATCATCCTATTCTTATTCATAATGCTCGTTATAGTACTTTTATTTGTACTTTATTAATTAGTATTGCTCAACAACAAATTATATCTGAAGTTGTTTTAACTACATTACTTTCAGTTGTTCTTCAATTAATTAAATCAGATTCACCAAAACTTACAGTTGTCGCACTTTCATTATCTGCTCAAATTCTTTCAGTTCATACTTTGTCTGAATCTAAATTTTCTTCATTATTATTAGTCCTTCATAAATATACTGCAACTTCACATCCAAGTCAATTTATTTCAGTTTTATGTATTGGATGTAAATATCAATATTCAATGAAAATATTCCCACAACAAATTCAGACATTTTTATTAAACTCAGTTCAAATGGTAGTTTCTACTTTAATAGCTTTATCCAAGAAGAAGTGTGACTTAGGAGATTTTGTTTTACTTTGTCTTCAAACATTAAATAAAGATTCAATCTCATCAAAGAAATATACAGAGTTGTTTGGTCCTATTGTTAACAACATTCAATTAAATGAAAGACATCTTATTATTATTGTTAAACACATTTTTGATGTAAGTAAAAGTGTTAATAAAGGAAAAATTAATTATGAATATTTTAATCTTCTTAATAATTTAGATAGTAAATATCCACAAGAGTTTTCTGTTGCTATTAATGAATACTTTAAACAACCTGATGTTGCTAATGTTGAATTAGCTAATCAATTAAAAGAAATATTAAATTCTTCAATGAACATGCCATTGTTTGAAGGATATAGTTATATTGGAACTATTGCTACAGTAAAGAAAACAGGATTAATTACAAATGCTACAATAGCCCAAATTATGACTGCATTAAAAAAATCAGGGGAACAATTTGCTGAAGTAAAATCAGTATTAGTTCAATTATTTAATACACCAATTAAACACTCATTTTATATTGAATTATTCAATGAAGATAATTATGAAAAATTGATTCCGGTTGTATCAGCAGAAATAGTATGTGAACATTTATGTAAATTTTGTAAATTATTACCAATAGAAGTAAATGAAGTAATGATGAAATACTTATCAAAATTAGAAGTTCCAAGAAAATGGATAAATGAATTATACGGTGTATTTATTCCTGAAAGAGATAACGTTTTACAAACATTATATATTCTTGATTTATATCTTAAATACTTTTCAAAATTAGAAGATTTATTTATTTTAAAAGATATTTATGAATCAATTGGAAGTCAATTAGAATCAACACTTTCTAAAACTGATATTACTTTTAGTGAATTAAATTCGTTATACAATACTATCATAATTATTTTTGGTCAATATATGGAAGTAAATAAATTAAAAGAATTAGAATGTAATAAAAAGAGTTGTGAATTTTTATTATCTGTATTATTATCATTATATAGACAAAATCCTACAAACCGAATTAAAACTTTAATGACTGAAATATTAGTCTTGTTATTTGATACAATCCAATTTAAAAGTCTTGGATATAAAAATAATATATCATATAATGACATGTTAACTAATATACTCATTGACTCTCTTAAAGAACAAAGTAATTATAATTCATGTATTACAAGTTTATTTGTTGAATTAGTTCAAGGAGATTGTTTCCAATATATTGAATATCTTAAATTATTACCATTTAATATTGCTTTAAATTCTTACAATAAAAGTGAAAAAACTAAAGAAGAAACACTTAAAGGATTAATTGGAACTACTCATTACATTTCATTTTTAAATACAATTAAATCTACTTTATCAGAAAAGGAAAAATCAATTATTATTCAACAACATTTTATTTTTGTGATTAAAGAATTAATGAAAGAAAGTGCAAAAGAAAGAACATATGGATTTGATTGTTTAAATGAAATTGGTAAACTTGCAAAAGGATATAAAGAAAATAATATTGTAATAGGAGGAAATAAAGTATTAAAATCTGAATATTATTTGAATTATATTACTGCTATACAACAATCAAAAATTGAATTAACTTCATCAAGTAATTTTATTACAACATTTAATAATGTTTATTTGAATAAAATTAATGAAAAATATAGAGGGTTATTTGTTGATCATGTTATTGATGTAATTAATAAAGACCATTTATTACCATCACAAGAAAAAATGAAAGTCTTAATGTCATTTGGAATGAGAAGTGTTGATAATATTATTGGAACAATGAATATGTTAAATGACTCTGATGAATTGTATGACAGTCAATTTGAACAAAAAGTATTAAGTGAAATAATAAAGTCAATTGTACAAACTAAATACGTTGGGGCATTTGTTGGAAATAAACAATTATTTGATACATTTAAAAAAATTATTCAAATGAGTAATGGAGAAAATGTAGTATTAATTTCTTCATTAATGAATGAAGAAATGTGGGGAATGATGGATGATATTCATCAAGAAGAATTCCTTAGAATCTTATCTGTAGAACACAAAGATAAAAGGTCACAAGTCATCAATAAATTAAATAGAATGCTTAAGATAACTCCATTTGATTTAGTTAACAAAATTGTTATGAAAATTATAACAATGATCAATACAAAGGAATCACTTCAAAATAAACAATTAAAGAAAATACCATCTGTTGTTATAGAAACAACACTAAATGAAAGTAATGACAAAAAAATGGAAGAAGAAGTTATTGAAAATAATAACCAAGGAAAAGAAGATGAAAGTATTATGAATGAATTACAATTTATGGTATTTGTTTTTGAATCTTTCTTTAAAGTACATAAAGGTTCATTAAATAATATTAACTTTGAAGACAATGAATTTAATAAAACATTTAGTGAGAGTATTAAAAATATTTCTCAATTAATACAAACTACTATTAAATTACCACAATGTTATCATACAGACTATCTTATTAATATTGAAATGAATAGTTTAATATATACAGTTGGATTTGTTTCAAAGTATCTCACATTTATTTCTACAGCTAAACCTATTGAACAACCAAGAAAAAAAGGAACTATTATTGTAAGATCAAAACATGATACATTCCAAAATAAAATTAAAAAAATGACTGAAGACCTTGCATCAAGTATTCAAGTTTTAACGGTTATAGATGTTATTTATGAAGTTATTGAAACATTCGGAATGACTCCAGCAATTTATAATGGGGCTATTACATTATTATCACAAATGATTGCATTATTCCCAACATTATTTGTTGAACATTCAGATAGGTTTGTCAGAGCTTTATCTAAAGAAGAAATTGTTGGAATTGTTGTACAAAAATTAATTCCACATGTAATATCTTCTATTAGCTCAGCACAAGGACTTCCAGCTACATCAATCGTTGAATTATTATCAATGATCGTTGATAATTATAATCAATTACCATACCATAGAAGAAGGGAAATCTTTTTACAATTATTTAAAGAAAGTAAATTATCAGAAGAACATCTTTCTGGAGTAATAGTCTTATTAATAGAAAATGAAGCAGATAATGTTTTACCATTTATTTATGACGTTTTTAGAGAATTAAATAATGACAAAGTTATTAAATTACTTGCTTGTATTATTGAAGATGCTTGTCAATTATTACAAGAAAATAGAGAAGGTATATTTGCTGGATATCAATTAAAAATAACAAAGAAAAAAGAAGTGGCTCATTTGTGTATTGATTTTGTCAATGGACAAATTACTAAAAGAGAATTTATTGCTAAATGTATGAAAACTACTGAAGATGTTAATATTCAACAAAATTATACTATTCTTTTCAAACAAGTTATTGAAATGTTAAATAAATTTGATTGTACTGATGAAAATGATTCTAATACTATTGTTGCAGATAAATTACATGATATGGTAGATAATATTTCTGATTTGTTTAGTATAACTACACTCATTCGTGCTGTTGTTTTCTTATTAAAACAATCAAGTATTCGTGTTAAAAGAACTGCCTTACTTATTTTAAATCAAAAATTAACTGCATTAACACCAGAAGAAATGAGTATGTATGAAGCAAGTTTCTTAAATGCTGAAAATGGACTTATTCATGTAGTTATTAAAATTCTTGAAAATGTAGATAAATTAAATCCAAGTAGTGTAGATAATGATGCAGAACAAGCAACTATTCAAACTGGAGTTTTATTATTAGAAATTTTATTAAGATTTTATGGAGCACAACATATTTCTATATTTATGGACTTATTAAATTATGTATTAAAATGTATTCAAATTAAAGACACTCTCAAAAACATTAAGATTGTTGCTTCTGCTTTATTATGTCTTAGTATATATGCTGCTGAATTAAAAACATCATTGATGCCACAATTACCACAATTAATTCCAATGTTCTTTGACTTATTGCCACATGGAGGAGATGAAGATAGTGTGAATAGTTTAATTAATTCAGTAATATCTTGTATGATGAGTTTCACTAAATCATATGGAAATATTGTACATCCATATATTAATTCTTTTATTCCATTAATATTAGACTCAGAATATACTTCAAATCCAGTTGTTTATCCATTTATTATGGAATTTATGGGTGTTGTTGGTTCTTCAATAGAATTTAGATTAGTTATGTCATTGGTATCTTCTAATTTTAAGAACAAAAAATTACAAAATGATACTTCTCTTGCAGCTTTGTTTGGATTATTATCAAAGAGCTTAAATGAAAACCAAACATCTATTTCTCAAATGAGAATTAAATTATATCAATTCTTATTTGAAGCATTAAAAACAATACCAAAGATTTCTAGTCCATTAAATATGAAACATTGTAATGATGAATTAATTGGAGTATTTAATTCATTAGTATTAAAATTATCAGACGATACATTTAAGCCATTCTTCTTGAAATGTGCAGAAGGATTTAATGAAGTAGTTGGAATAAGTGAAATACCTTCAATTTACATATATACAAAGATTATCTTATCATTCTCAAAAACATTAAAATCTTTATTTGTTCCATATTATGCTTTTGTTCTTAAAAATATATTAAGTATTTTAAATCAATTGCCTTTAAGTCTTGCAAATGCCCTTGTTCCAGAAAGATCAACATTAGGTAAACGTTCAGCAAATAATATTAAAAAAGGAGATAATGCCATTGTATTATTAGACTCTATTTATTTAAATATTGAATTATTACAAACATTATTCCAAAATGATAATTCCAACTTTGTTGATTCTCAAAAAGTTGAACAATTGTTACCAACAGTTAATTTGATTGATTTAATGCATAACTGTTATAAAGAAGAAGATGATTACTTTGATTTTATTACTAAAAGGTTGTCTCCTTGTTTATGTCAATTTGCATTATGCGTACCTAACCAGGTTTGTTGGAAACCTTTGAACCACCAATTATTAATTCAAACTCAACATACTGACTCAATTGTCCGTTTAGCTGCACTACATTGTATGATTCATTTGTGGGATACTATTGCTGCTGACATTGTTTACTTACTCCCAGAAACTCTTCCATATCTCACAGATCTTATGGAAGACACTAACCAAGAAGTTGTTGAAGCAGCAAAAGAATTTGCCCAAATAGTTCAGAAACACTTAGGAGCTGATTCTTTACAAAAGTATTTGAATTAATAATTTATTTTCTTCTTTTTAACTTATTTATTTAATTTTATTAAAAAAAGAAAAAAACAAATAAAAATCGAAATCAATCAAACTTTAATGAGTAACATTCACTTTTAATTTGCATACGAAGAAACCGTCCATATTTTGAATGTGTGGGAAGAATCTTTTTGCCATTTTTACTGATGGATGGAAACGATATTGTCTATGGTTAACATATCCATCTTCTCCAACACCATCTTGTAAAGCAATAGGCACAACTTTAACATTTCTTTTCTTTAAAGCGTAGTCAATTACTGCTTCGTTCTCTTCTACAGTAATAGAACAAGTAGAATAAACTACATACCCACCAGTTTTACTTTTTGGATTTACTGAGTCAATGGCATGTAAAATCAATTCTTTTTGTATTCTTGTACAATCCTTAATATCCTGTTCACTCTTGCTTAACTTAACAGCTGCATCACGTGAAATAATACCCAAACCCGTACAAGGAGCATCAACTAAAACACGGTCAAACTGACCCATCACCTTAGGGAATTCATGTCCATCACAATTTGTAATTATAGTATTTGTAATTCCTAAACGATGAACATTACCAATAACTGCTTTAAGACGATCTTTACTAATATCATTTGCAACAAGAACACCAGTGTCTTTCATTAATGCAGCAATATGAGTTGTTTTACCTCCTGGAGCAGCACACATATCCAAAATTTTTTCATTTGGTTGTGGTGCTAAAGCAATAACAGAAACCCAAGATGATGAACTTTGTAAAATATATTGACCAGCCAAATACTCTGGAGTAGCACCAATAGGGACTTGAGAGTCATAAACAACTAACCCAGATTTACTCCATTCAATCATATCAACATTAACACCTCTATTAATTAATTTTTGAGCAAGTTCTCTCCTTCTTGATTTTAATGTATTTACACGAATTGTAACTGGTCTTGGTGCTTCATTTGCTTCCATGAAGTCAACAGCTCCTTTTGGTCCAAATAAGTCTACAACCAATGTTGCTAAAAATTCATTACATGAATAATACGTTTGCATATCTTGAATTAATAATGAGATATATTCTTGACGACTTCTTCCTTCTTCATGTCTGGCTTTAAAATCACATAAAACAGCAACAATTTCTCTAATTCGAGTTCCAATAGTAGCTACATCCCCTATCTCTTGTGCATGAATAATTTCTTGTCCACTTGGAAGTGTATGTCTTTGTTCAGCAGCGATATTTGTTTGCATTTCTTCAGCAGCTTCTGCTTTAATTTTTGCTTCCTTTAAATTGGTTTTCTTTGCATTTTGTTCGAATGGAGTTTCTTCTTCACTAAACTCGTCTTTAATGTCTTCATCACCAGATGGAAAAAGTTCTTCAGCAGATTCTTCTTTTACTTTTTCTTCTGAATTATGCTCTTCTTTTTCATCTAATTTATGCTCTTCTTTTTCTTCATTATTTTTAATATTCTCTGTTGGAAGGCTCTCCTTTACTTCTTCGGTTGTTTCAACTTTTTTGATATCTTCAACAATGTCTTGAGATATATCTGATTTTTTTACCTTATTATCTTGTGATGTTCTTTTCATTCAACACAATCTTTTCAATCCATTTTTTGTTCCACAAAACCCTATTTATTTTTTTGATATTAGTTTTAATTTTTTATTTTTCTTATAACATAAATAATATAATTGTTATAGCACTTAGTTTATATACGTTCGTTATCTATAAGTACAATTAGACTATTGTTTTTGTTATTCAGTCACTGGTTTGGGTTGAGTTATTGACTATTGTCATAAGTTATCATTCTTGCCTTTTATTAATGCTTGAACAAGGATATAATAAAGCTATAATATTATTAATAAAAATTACAAACTAACTATAATTGAAACCCAAAATAAATGAATGATAAATAATAGTAAAAAAAATTAAAATTAAATAAAACAAAACCTACCAAACTATTAAATTGGTTTATCAATGCCAAAGACTAATAACACAAGTAGACAAACAGTTTTAAATACAGCCTATGCACCAACTTCAGGTGCTTCTAAAAAGATTACTGTTAATGGTAAAACTGTTATTGTTACAGCTAATACTCACGTTGGTAAATCAGCCCCAAGAATGAAAGGAAAAGTTGAACACAAAGGAGCCGCTGCTGAAACTAAGAAACTCGAAGCTGCTATTAAAACATTGAAAGGCCAACATATTGGAGGAATCGATGAATGTGAAATGATTCAAAAGAAAGATGGACAATATAAAATCACTAACTGGAAAAATCCAAAGATTATGTGCACTAGTGAAGGTGGAGTCTTCTTTGTTACTGGTGCTAATAAAGTTGAAGAAATGACTGAAGAACAATTCAATAAAGCTGCCCAAGCTCAAATTGAAGAAATTACTAAACAATTTGCTGCCCCAGCTGCTGAAGAAAAGAAGGAAGAAGAAGTTAAAGAAGAAAAGAAAGAAGAGGCTGAAACCCCAGCTGCTGAAGAAAAGAAAGAATAATTCAAATAAAAATATTCTTTTCTAATAATATTATTTTTTCTTTTTATTTTAACTTAAATTTATTATAAAAATACATTTTCAATTAAAAGAGACTACTATGACACTCATATTATCTTTTCCTTCTCTTATGAAGGATTGGTTTCTTAAAGTAGATGATTTTTCTTCAACATTCATTTCAGAATTCATTACTGCTTCTATTTCATCAAGTCTAATAGATAAGTATATTTCTTAAAAAGTTTAGACGAAGGAAAACAAACTGAAGTACTGATGATATTCCATCAGATGTTAAGACTAAGGAGGTGATGTCATCACTTTCTAGTTCAATTACTTCAGGAATACATGTTAATGGTGGATGGAATTTTTTATCACCTAATGATCTAGTAACTGAAATCTGTCCATTTACTCGAAGAATACCACCATTAAATTCAACAACACCACCATTTTTTTTAATTGATGAAACTTCTTCTAAAGAAGAAGTATTTTGGTCATGTGTTAATTTTTTGAGTTTTCTTTTTTTTAATGCAAAAGCTGTTGAATCACCACAATGGACTAATGTAATTTTATTACTATAAATTAAGGCTAGTGTTGCAGTAGTTCCTGATTCTGTTGATTTAATAATGGTTGAGTGAACTTTTTCAAAAAGGGTTATCCAGTCAAATTCTTCTTCTAAATGTTTTATTTCTTCTTTAAATAATTTCGCAGCTAATTTTGCTGCATCAGAACCATTATGTCCATCGAAAATACCAACTAGATCTATTCCTTCTTTTATATTTCCTGCAATAAGCACTTCATCTTCCATATAATTTCTCTTACCAATAGTGAGAGAAACACCTATGTCATGTGATTTAGAGAATGTATATTCCTAATACTATTAATACGTCAAATTTTTTTTTAAATTTTATTAAACAAACAAAATTATAAGGTTCTCCTGAAATTTGCTTACCATTTGTACCTTTTGGAATAAATATTGACCAACTCTTGTTTGGTAAGATACAACTGTTGACATGAAGACATTGTTTATTTCCATTGAAAACAGGTCTCTCTCTTCCGTAAAATGAATTTCCTCTTGTTCGAGGTCTTTTTTGAGTGTGTTTTGCTTCTTCAGAGATATCAACTGATTCAACTATATGAATAGAAACACCTCTTGTAATATGATTAATTTCTCTGTTTTCACCCATTAATTTTTTTAGATTATTTTGTTCTAATGTTTTGCCTTTTTTTAGATAAATTTATAAAATTTTAAAATTTTTTCTTGTTTTTTTTTTATTTATTTAATTCTTTAATCATTTTTTGTTCTAAGAATTTTTAACTCTGCGTACCAAATTTCTTTATTGTATTGGGCAAGTACTGATTGAGATACAATAAGTTCACGGTTTTGGTATTGAATTTCTTTCAATAATGTGTATACATCATTATAAGAATACACATCTTCTTTAGGAGTTATTTTTTCTTGCGGTTTCTCTTTTAATGAAGAAGATGTAATTTTGTTTTGATACATATCTAGCATTTCTCTCAAATTTTGTAATTCATTTTTAATAATGTTTCTGTGTAATATTTTTCTCTTTCTTTCTGTGCATTAAATTATCTTAAAAGTAAATAAATAATTAAGTAACAAACTTTGTTTAATTGTTTGCAGTGAATTATTTTCAGTTTTTTCCATTTTGTTAAATTCATAGTATTCAAACTTTTATGTACAATTGTCTGTTCATCTGAAAAGATGTACGAAGTGTCTTTTCATTATAGAACATGAAGAAGTTGTATTATAAAAAAAAAAGGAAAAACCGAAAAAAGAAACTAAAAAAAGAGTCAAGAATAATTACTCAGATGTGTTCTCGTTCCAGAATAGATGTCTGTCGTTGTGGGTTTTGTGATGGACACTTTTCTATTCCAAATATTCCAAAAGTATTACCTTGTACTCATGTAATATGTAGAGATTGTATAATGTCATTAATACAATCACAAAAATCACATAACGAATATTCTGAAGAAGAATCTGAATTATATTGTCCTCAGTGTCATAAGTTTATTCAATTACCTTTTGGATCGCCAGAAATACTACCAACTCCTTACAAACGAATTAAAAAGGTTTTTGAATTTGCACAATGTACTGATGAAAAAGGATGTGAAAACAAAGCATTAGGATATTGCTTTAATTGTCAAGTAAATTTTTGTATTGACCATTCTTCTTTACACGTTAAACGAAAACATTCAATAGAAGTGTTTAAACCTGGAAAATTTTGTTTGGTTCATATGAAATCTGCAGAAATGTATTGTTATACATGCCAATGTGTTATTTGTTCAGTTTGTCAAAGAGATATTCATCGGAAACATAATATAACACAACTGTCATTATTTTATGCTCATTACATGAAAGGTCCAACATTACCGAAGTTATATCAAAACTTAAGAAAACTTTCAAATTGTTTAACAAAAATTAATTCATTATCAAGTGTTGATGATTCAAATGAAATTAATTCATCCTTGGAGAGTATTAATTATTCACTAAAAATTAATGCACACAGTTCCTTTTCACAAAAAATTGAAAATACTGCGATCATGATATTACCTATTAACACAACAAAAACAATTTTATTAAAAGAATTATGTATAAATTCATTACATCATCTTCAAATTCAAATATATCCTACAAAACCTATCCCACATCCACCTTCTACAGGTCATTTAAAATATTCATTAACAACTCTTCAAATAGAAGAGTCTCCAACTGAAGGAGGAATTCTTACTGTTAGTGTAAATGAAGATGAAATAGTTTTACATGGAGAACAAGAAGGAGATGTTTTAATAAAAATAAGTTGTAAAGGAATAGAAATAGATAATTCACCTATTCGTGTTCGTATTGCACCACCGTTACAAGTCATTTCATCAAATGCCACAAGTGATAAAAATAAAGTTTATATTACATATCTTTGTAGTATTAATGGTGGATATGCAGTAGTAGATAGTGGAAATGATTGTGTTAAAATTATTGGAAATGAGTTTATGATATTTGGTGGACGAGGAAATGGAAGAGGACAATTTAAAAATCCTGTTGGAATTGCAGTTGGGGTTATTGGTAAAGAAGAGTGGGTTTGGGTAGTGGATAAAGGAAATAATAGAGTTCAATTATTTATAAAAGGAAGGTATGTGAGGTCATATCAAAAAGAAGGTAAAAGTTCATTAAAAGCACCAAGTTCATGTGTTTATGTACAGAAAGAACAATTGTTATATGTTACTGATACAGAAAATGATAGAATTGCAATATTTGCTCATGATGGAACATTTATAAAAGCAATAGGAGTTGACTTTAATCAACCAACAGACATTAAGGCTATTACAATAGGAAATCAAGTTATGTTTGTTATTGCTGATACAGGAAATAATAGAATTGTAATAACAAATAATCAAGGATATATCATTCAAGTAAAGGGAAGTATTGGAGAAGAGAGAAGAGGAAGGTTTGACCATCCTAATCTTCTTGCTGTTGATCATAGAAGACAAGAAATATATGTTTCTGAAGGAAAAGTTAGAATACAAAAATTTGATTTTAGTTTTAATTATAAACAAACATTTGATGTTCAAGTTGGAGAAGTAACGTCAATGCATTATGATTCATTAAGTGATGTTTTAGTTGTGTGTGGAAAGAGTTGTGATGATATTCATTTATTTACACAAGATTTATTAGAGTATTATGTTATTTAATAATCTGTTAGAAAAGTCAAGAGTAATTTATAATAAAATAAATGATATAAAATAATTATAGTTTCATGTTTTGTTGTAATTTTTATTATTTTTTTATTAAAATTTTATTATACAAATAATATTTCAATAGTCAAAGTTTATACAGACTTAACTATTTTTATTAGTTATTAAGTTATTTTTTGCTTTTTTATAAATTTTTTTGTTATTAATTCTAAAATTAGATTAGACTCTTTTGATTTTATTTATTCTTAAATTCATAAATGAAATATGAATAATGAGTCATAGTTTCATTATACATATAATGATGAACACGAGTTTTATTTATACATATTAATATTAATTGAAATTGATAAGAAAAATCATATTAATGATAGATAAATTATTTTATAAAACAAGAATAGATGATAAACTATTTCAAACTCGTATATTAAAAAGAAAATGAAACATAAATTTATAAATAATTTAATTATTAATTAAAGACATTTTAAAATGTCATAACTAATAAGTAGATATAACAATTGTATAATAATAGTGTAGTTTGAAATTAAAAGTAATACAAATTTATAATAAATAATATGAGAGATATACAACAAAATTTGATATATTATATAGTTAATAACATTAAACGATTTTAAAGGTATAAGTGAATTAGAATAATTAATAAATTAATATTAATACTGAAGATTAGAATAGATTCAAAACAAACAAAAACAAAGAGTATATGTACATTAAATTAACTGAATACATGTAAATAAATTGAAATAAAATATTCAAAGTAAAAGTGAAATAAATGAATAAAACAAATATTATTTTTTAAAGTGTGATGAATATTACATATAATAAAAATCATTTGTAGTAATGAAATTAAATATTATTCTATAATCTTAAAATAAAAAATAAAAAAAATATTATAATATGATATTTATTGTTTAATTAAATTCTATTTTAAATGATTAGTTTTTTTAATTAAATAAAATCTTAAAAACAAAATATTAAAAAAGTTTATTATGTCAAAGTCAGAAGTTTATAATAAAATAATACAATTAATTGACAAAATTGACACAACTGAAATAAAAAATGCAATGAGTTTTATGTTTGCATCTCTTTATGAAAAAATTATTAACATAGAGGTTCAACTTAATTCATCCATAAAATTAATTGACCAACAATACTTAAGAGGAATTGAAGAAATAAACCAAGATAATAAGATTAATGAATTTATTATTCAAAATCTTGACCAAATAGAAAATTGGAATGGGTATAATCACGCTAAAGTTATTTATAAAGGAGATTCAATTCCACAATCCCAAGTAGAGCAATGGAAACAAAAAGATAATATTACTGTCGTTGTACTAACTCATAACAACCAATTATTTTTAACATCTCTCCAAAATCCTAGAGAAGAAAAACCTATAGACAGACAGAAGAATGTACCTATTAGAAAAGTTATTATCCAACAGTGGAAAAAGGATGGGAATAAGTACATCAACTATGTTTATGACTCAAAGCCTTTATCAATTTTAGACGGAAATACCAATTATTTTATTGAGTTGGGTCATGGGTTCAAAATAGGGATGGATGGAAAAGGAGAGTTTTCCACTGACTTTTTTTGTAAGTATGGGGTGTCACCATTACCAAAATTAGATTACGACCATTCTTTGTATATTAAACAAATCGTTGTACTAGAGTGGGAGTTGGTTGGGTCAGTTCCAGAGATACAGATTTAATAAGTTTAATATTATTATAACTAATTGCGTATGCGGCTAGTACTTGGAAGTTTGTTTTGGTTTCAACCTAATATTTCCTTCCTCATTGAGCGTATTTTTTAATTAACTTTTACTTACCACATTATTTTGTTATTCTCATGGGTTGGAAAAGAACTTTATAATGAAATAAGATATATTGAAGAAGCTAAAGTAATCAAATCTCTATCTGAAGATAATCAAATTATGGATATACAATTAATTGACCTTTTCGTATAATAATCTTATTATTTTAGCTTATTTAGTTACTCATTAATTTGTTATGAAAAACATTAATTTTTAATATGTTTAATATTGTTTTTAATTTCATTTATATTTCTTTCATTTATGAATGGAACAACAAGAAGTTGAAATGAAAATAAGAAAGAAAAGTTTTAAAAATAAATATACATACAAGTTGAATAGTTGTTTGATTTTGATGAATCAATATTGAAAATTTTGTTTACTAAATTCATGAGCTAAATGATGTTATTTTATTTACTCTCTTTTTATGTTGGTTTTATGTTTATTATACATTTAAATTATTTGATACAAAAGATTATTCAAACATCACATTATAAAATATTTACTTTATTTTTGATTTATATTATATATAAATTACATTTTGATATTAAAAAATATTGTAAATAATATATAGAAAATAGTATAAAATGATATATATTGTATTTTAATATTGAAATTATAATAATGAATTTATCAATATATATTAATGAAAATATTAAATATGATACTTATATCGGTTGCTATTATTGTAGTTAATAAATTATCATTCATATTCAATTCTACTCTCATATGAAAATAAAAGAATTATTATTCTTATTTGAGAGAGAATTGATGAATAATAATGAAGAATCAATGTAAATTTAATTATATTCTTTATTTTATTTTCATAATAAATAACAATATTAATTTCAATTTATAATGTTAATGATAATAAATATGAAATGAAAGAATGATAATTTGATGAGGTAGAAAGAATAATAGTTTTATTGTATTTTTATTTATTTTATTATTTATTTAAATATATCTAATTGTATCAGTTTGATATATTAATGATGATTTATATTTATTTATTTATCATATTCTGTTCAACAGAAAAATAAAGTACTAACAAACAACAATAAAATAACTTCATAAATAATAAAGAATGAAATTATATAATAAATGATGATATTAATAAAATACTAAAAGAATAAATAAACACATGATATGAAAGAGAGAAAAAGAAAAAAAAATAAAAGAATGAAAAACTAAAAGCACAGAAAAAAAGATATTATACTTAATAGTAAAATAAAATAAACAATATAGTAAAAAGAAGAGTAATTGTGAAAAAATGAAAAACAAAAAATAAATGATTGAATTGTTATATTAGAATTGATAAAAAGTTAATATTTTCATTTCATTTGAATTACGATGATTCGTTTTGGTATGAACCGATTTGGATATTCTTTTCCACAAAGTGCATGTGATATTCCTGAATATGAAAATGACCGTTGATAACAAGATGATTTTGTTTTAAAGTTTTCTTTATAAATATCAATATCATCTCCATATAGTCCAAATATAAATAGACGCTCGTTTGGTTGATTATCCAAATAAAATGCATATTCTGGTTGTTTAATATCAAATTTCTTCATTCCTTTCATTCTTCCTTTTGATTCTAATGAAAATACAAATGATTGTGAATCATTTATATAACTTTCAACTTCATCAATTTTAGAATTAACATATCCTCCAAATCTATTTCCTTCTTCATCTTCAATAATAATTATTATATGTTCTTTATTCATTATTCTTTCTCCAAATACTGATGTATTTTTATTCCAATTATCTTTATTTGAATCAAATAATGTATTTCCTACTTTTTTATTTGTCCATTCTTCTAGTTGTTTTATTAATTTGTTATGTGACATTCTATTTGTTGATGAAGTTATTCCCATTATTTGTTATTGTCTCTTATTTTCACGATATTTTATCTTAGTTTAAAGTTTATCATTAATTCTTATAGTTATTGTATGGTTAATAGTCTTGACTCAATTGGTGTTCTATTAAATAGGAAATGGAATAATATTTATTTCAGGTACAACATCTAAAACAAGCGAAACTTGTCACATGAAAGATTGAAATGATTTACAACAATTTTAGAAGTGAGGTTAAGAAATGTTTATTAAAAAATTTCATTTTATTTTTTTTCGGTTTTATTTCTATTTTTATGATTATAAAATTTGTTTTGAATCACACATTTATTTTTGTTATATATATTTTAATGTTATTATTTTTTCTTTATAATATCTTCAATAATGAGTAGTATAATCAATAACCATAGCTTTTTCCTAAGTATTTTATTTGACGTTTCTTTGTGTTAATTCAAATGTTAAAATTAATGAATTTGATTGTTTTATCTCTATTTTGTTATTCTTCTTATTGTTAAATTATTTCATTCTTATTATTTTGAATATCAAACTATTTTATTTTCTTTCAATGTCAGAGTTTACAATGACTTAAAAATTATATTTTACTATTTATTTGAATTTTCTTTCAATTTCATTCATAAAGTGATAATACAATTCAATTATGATAACTTCATTACATATTGTAATAATTTGAATGTATAAAAAAATGTTGATAATAAGAAATAAAGAAGAATGAGAATTATAAATTGATTTAATGTCTTTTTTTCTGATAATTTTAATAATTCTTTATGAGTCATTTACAAAACTAACCAACAAAAAAATGAAGATATTATTTACTAAGTAGTCGTTTTTGTGGTTCAGAAATATCAATTTCGTGTGGAATTAAATAGTCAATACTTGGAATAATTTCAGTTCCAAATTTATGAATAAGAAAATCATTTTGGAGTTTTTTTGTTTGACATTTTTGAAATTCATTGCTATTCAAAGTGAGTCGAATAACGTCTTGATAAAATGGATTAATTTCATTTAATGAAAAAAGATTTATAAAAGTATCTTCTGTTATATTTGATGGTAAATTTATTTTAATTAAGGTATTATTTTGATTAAGAATATATGAAAGTTCAAGTTCTACATTTTCAATAGAAAGATAATTAAAACCATAAATAAATCTAGAATTAAAAAATTCTCTAGAAATAACATCTCTATTACATAATCTATCTATGAAATAAAGTAATAATTTTTTCTTTCCTAAAACAGTTATTCTTGTTTCTGTTTTACATAGATCAATATCTTTTAAAATAATATCATTTGTTATATTTCTAAATATTCGTTCTAAAGGAGTACAATACCATAAATGTTCATTAATAAATTCTATAAAAATTTCATTTTCATTAAATAGACTGAATAAAGTTTGGTCTTGAATTATCTTTTTAAAGAAATGAGGAAGAATTAATATTGAAGAACCTTTATATTCTTTATGTTCTTTAAGTTGTTGAACAGTTGGAATGAAAATATTTTTTAAATAATTGATTATTGAATGTTTTGTTATAAAATTACTTCCTATTTCATGGTGAATGCCATGAATCTGTTTTTCTAATTCTTTACTCATTTGTTCTGTTTGAACACAACATAAAGGAGGAAAACAATAACCATTTCCTGAAACACAAAATGCAATTGTAGAATTTCTTGTTTCTCTTCCAACGTATAATTCTATACTTTTATCAGTATCATTGTGAATAATACTTTCTTCTGAATTACCAACAAAAAGTCTAAAATCATAAGTATCAAATGTAAATATCCATGATGCATCAATATCATTATATTGATGTAATGTTTGTACCATTTTAATTATTTTTTCTTTATTCAATTCTATTTTAAGTGGTAATTTAACAGTTTTTTGTTGTTTAAATCCAAAATTATTCATTATTGAAATAAGAATTTGTTTATTTATTTGAATATTATGTTGTTCGTTTAGTTCAAGTATTAAAGTATTTAAAGTTATTGATTTCTTTTTAGTATTTATTTTTGATAACTTATTAAATAACATATGATAAATCATATTCTTTTTCTGAGAGTCTATAAGATCTTGTTGTTCTTTTTCTATTTGAATAGAATTGTTATTTTGAACACTCATTTGAGACGTCAATTTAATTTGATTCAAAATATTATAAACATTTATATCAATATTTTCGTTTGTTTTATTATGCTTTTGTTCTA